ACAGCTGCTGCTGCTCTCTCCAGCCCCGCTGTGGCCACCACTGCCGGGACCTTGGGGGACCTGGGGAGGAGCCCTGTCCCAGAAAGCAGCTCAGGACCTTGGGAACAGGCGAGCACCCCAATTACACCAGTCAGCTTAACCATTCCTGCCACCCCGAAGCAGGCCCTGGAGGAGGAGGACATCAGGAACATCATTGGTGAGTGCCTGCAGGTCCTCCACTGATCCAGCTGTCTGCATGGGGGCTGGCTTGTGCTTGCAGCATGTCCTGTCAAGTGCAGCACACCTGGATTTGGTGGGTGGTGTCATGGAGATGGTGGCTGGACAGTACTCTACTGGGGCAACAGATTTGTTTGCTTGTTAACTCTGGAATATACTGTAGTGTCCTCCCAGTCTGAGGGGCTGGTCAGGGCAGAAAGAAGCCTCTTTGGAGATGAATCCGAAACAGGCAGCAGCCCCAGCTGGGCAGGGACATAGCAGAGGCTGTGGGGAGCTGTTGGCAGGATCTGGCCAGTGCTACTGAGCCTTGTGAGGCTGAGCCCAGGCTGCAGCATGGAGGGTACTGCTGGGTGGGCAAAGGGCTGGAGCAAGGGCAATGCCTGCAGAATGCCAGCCCGAGCAGGGAGATCATGGCCACTATGCCTTGGGCCTCATGAACCTTTCTCTGCCTGTGCAGGGCGCTGCAAGGACACACTGTCCACCATCTCAGGGCCCACCACCCAGAACACCTATGGGCGCAACGAAGGGGCCTGGATGAAGGACCCCCTGGCCCGGGAGGAGCGGATATACGTGACCAACTACTATTACGGGAACACACTCGTGGAGTTCAGGAACCTTGACAACTTCAAGCAAGGTGGGCTTGCGTCATCCATGATGCTGCACTGGCTGCTGCACAACTGGTTCAGTCAATGTCCCTGTTCCCTGGGATGCTGCACTGTGGGGGGGATGCTCTGCCTGGGGACCCTCCCCTCTTGGGCACTGGTACCCATCATGTGGGGTTCAGAGCATGGGACAGGTCAGGGTGCCTGTGGTGGCTCTGGACTTGCTTGTCACCACGCCAGGCTGTGGCCGGTGGCTGGGGAGGGAGCGTAGGCAGGGCTGGGGGCAGAGGGTGCTGGCGGTAGGGCCACCAACCCCCAAAGCAAAGGGAGGGTCTCACCAGCAAGTTGCCTCTGCCCTGCAGGTCGCTGGAGCAACTCCTACAAGCTCCCGTACAGCTGGATTGGGACGGGGCATGTTGTCTACAATGGCTCCTTTTACTACAACCGAGCCTTCACACGCAACATCATCAAATATGACCTGAAGCAGCGGTACGTGGCGGCCTGGGCCATGCTGCACGACGTGGCCTACGAGGAGTCCACCCCGTGGCGGTGGCGAGGCCACTCGGACATAGACTTTGCTGTGGATGAGAACGGCCTGTGGGTCATCTACCCGGCCATCAGCTATGAGGGCTTCAACCAGGAGGTGATTGTGCTGAGCAAGCTGAATGCGGCCGACCTCAGCACTCAAAAAGAGACCACGTGGCGGACGGGGCTACGGAAGAACTTCTATGGGAACTGCTTTGTCATCTGTGGGGTCTTGTACGCGGTCGACAGCTACAACAAGAGGAATGCCAACATCTCCTACGCCTTTGACACGCACACCAACACGCAGATCATCCCCCGGCTGCTCTTTGAGAACGAGTACGCCTACACCACGCAGATAGACTATAACCCCAAGGACCGCCTGCTCTATGCCTGGGACAATGGGCACCAAGTCACCTACCATGTCATCTTTGCCTACTGAGACACCCCCCCCGCCACAGTGGGGCACTGCGAGCCAGGGGCCACCAGCACCTTTTATTATTATTTTTATTGTTATTATTGTTATTTTGTACAAATCAGAGAGTAAATGATGGGTTTTGTTCCAAGCTGGTTTTTTATGGTGGATTGTAGATCGATCCCCAGGCCAGAACCACCCCCTTCATCTTTGCTGTAACCTTGCTTCTGATTCTCCTACCTGCAGTGGAGGAGGCCCTCCTTCAGGAGGGCAAACCCAGCTCTCCTGCTGAGGGAGGAGGAGGTGGCCCAGCCGTGGTTCTCCTGATGAAGTTTTTAGCTAAAGGTGATCAGGAAGAGACCCAGAACCAGTGCAAAGCTGGGCTTTCCACTGTTGGCACCAGGTCCCAGCAGGATGCTGATGTCTACCAGGACAGCTAGAGGACATGTGTCCCCCATGGGATTGTTCCTGTCTCTTGAGACCATCTTCCCAGTCAACAGTCAGCAGGCACTTTGGAAATCCTGCTGTACAATGGGGCTGCAAGCGTAGCTCCAGCAACCCCTGGTGCTGGCACTTACGCCGAGGACTGTCCCCTCTGCCTGGGGCTCTGCCTTTTGCAACCTGCTCTGCAGGCTGGGCTTGCCCTGCGCCCTGAGGCAAGCTGGTGGTGGGAGGGGGACACTGTAAATATGTGTAGATGGCTTCTCTTTGTTCATTTTGTAACCCAAACTAGTCCCCTTTGGCATTTGCTGGGCAAAGGCTCTCTTCGGATGGGCGCTGGGCTGCCTGGGTGGGGAGCTGGGGGGCTGGGGGACCCCTTGGGGGGGCCTCGCTCCCCATCTCCTTGCCCATCTATCTCCGGCAGGGTCTCGGCCCCTGTGCCCTCTTGTTGCCACACTCCCCCGCATCCTGTTGGCCATTGGGAGCCCCTTGCAGAGGCACAGCCCCTGCCCATCTGCCGGCAGCACCTTGTATTTACCTGCTGTCAGTAATAAAAGATCAAGTATCTTTGCGGTTGTTCAGGGCTTTCTTTGGGTCTGGTTCACCCTCTGGATGCTTTTTGGAGTGGACATCGGTTGTTCTGGGGAGTGCTGGTTTACACACCAAATGGCAGCAATGCACTGCTGGCTGAAGGAAACCGTGGGAAGGCTCTAGGCTGCTTGGGCCTGACACCAGGGCA